GTTAAATACTTTTATCTCAGTTGGACAACCCCACACACGTAAATAGTTTAGTGAAGGTTCCTTTCCTGTCCACAGCTCATACGATGTTTTGGGCATCGATTTATTTGGCACTCGATTAAGTATATGAATGATGGTTTTAACGCATCCATCCATAAGCTTATCGGTAGGGTGGAGTAACTTATCATGCTTCTCACCATATCCATTAAGGTACGGTTGCGTCTTTCAGCTACTCCATTCTACTAAGGCTCGCCCGGTGTAGAATACTGGGCTACTATGTCATTTTTCTAAGTACCTTGCAAAGGGTCTAGGAACTTGGCCATATAGGGTGTGTCGGCCGTAGTACTCTCCCCCACGGTCGGACCTTACTACCTTAATCTTTAAGTTGTGCTGATTTTCTACTTCAGCCTTGAATATTTTAAATTTATCCAATGCTTCCGATCTTTCCTTAATTGGATAAATATAGCCAAAACAAGAATAGTCATCTATGAATGTTATAAATGAATCATCCACACTCTTCATAGGAAAAGAACCACAGATGTCTGTGTGGACTATTTCTAAAATTTCTACGCTTCGTTTGACATCTTTCTTTATTTTCTTAACATAATTTCCTTTTCTGTAATCTATGCATTGTTCTAAATATGAAAATTCTAAGAGCGGAAGAATTGATTTCTTAATCAATCGCTCTATTCTCCCCCTCGAAATATGGCCTAAACGACAGTGCCATAATTTTGAAGATACATCATGCACTCTCTTCCACTTATTTATTGCATTCATAGACAAGGAAGCATTCTTATTCTCAGTACTTACATCATTCACATTCTCAAAAAGTGATAATAAATAAAGCTTGTCTTGTCGGAAGGTAAGACCAACACATTTATTATTATAAACAATCTGACATTTGCCATTACCAAAATGACAATTATATCCATCGTCATCTAAACGTGAAACACTTATTAAGTTTCTTCGCAAAGAGGGTACAAATAGTACATCTGAAAACTTAAGTAGAAAACCATCAACTAATTCTAGAGAAAGGTCTCTAATGGCTTCAACTTCAGCTTCAACTCTATTTGCTACTTTAATTCTTCTTTCTCCTCTTTGCAGGGTCCTCCTCGTACGGAATCCCTGTAATGAATTTAGAACGTGAATAGTTGCTCCTGAATCAATCCACCAAGTAAATTTTGTATAACTTAAATACAAGGATTCATCTATGAATATAATGAAATCCTCACCTCTCTTCAGAAGGTTCTTCATGAAGTCTAGATAGTCCCTCTGGTAGTGTCCATGCTTTTTGCATCATTTGCATTGATCCTTTTCAACTTGAGCATTGTTGTTCTTCTGATGATGCTCGGTCTGAGAGGCTTTCCCTTGAGGTTTGGCATTCTTATTAAAATTCTTTTTCTTGTCCTTCACAAGGTTAGCAGAGTCATCCTGTAAGGATTTTAGCCTCTCCTCTTTTTGAACACATATTGCGATGAGCTTCTCTATATCCCACTTATTGGGCTGCATGTTGTAATTAACAACAAATGTTTCATATTCCTTTGGCAAAGAAGCAAAAACCAAATGAATCAGGAACTTATCCTTGAGCCCTAAATTCATTGGCTTTAGCTTCGAAGCCGTGTTGCTCATCTTCAATATGTGTTCTCTTATACCTCCACCAGAGTATTTCTCATTGAATAATTTTTTTATCAAGGTGCTTGCATAAGCCTTTGAAGAGCAAGTAAACTGACTCTCCACTTTCTTAAGATACTCGGTGGCGGTATTTCAATCTAGGATTCATCCCCTTATAGCATCTGAGATAGTGGATTTGGCCACCATCAAGCACTTGCGGTTCGAGATGTCCCATTTCTTTCGATCAAAATCGTATTTCATTTTAACTTCTGTATAATCTCGCTTTCGAGCATTGAAATCAGCTTTAGTCTCATTTTCTACCCTCACCGGGTCCTCTAGCTCAGTAGGACACGGAGAGGTAAGTGCTAAGTCATTCTTGGACAGCGCAAGTGCAAGCTCATACTTCTCTCGCCATACTCTGTAATTGCCCCCTTCAAGAGGCGGAATATGCGAGATAAAGCTATTGGGTTGAGTCCTGAAAAATAGTGTCAGAGAAAGTGAGAAAACATAACAAAATAATTGCATGCCTTAATTTAATGTCGGTCAAAATTAAAACATACAACTTCTTCTACATTAATTCTACATCACCGTTGGGTAGAAAATAGAATTAATGCATAAACTCATGAATCAAACATTTATAATATTGTTATCAACAACTTTAGTCAAAAAATAGCAAAATCATAAATTTACTGAAAATTATAACTACTCCTTAAAATTAAATCCTCCCGTTAGTTCGAATTTAATTAAAAGATCATAAACATCATCATTTGCAGCAGAAACATGAAAAATACTTTATCTACTTTTTAGAAGCATTTTACGGTACTCATGTACTCTCTAAAAAAATTATTCCGTTGGTTCAATTTTTGACAGAGATTGTACCTCAAAACATAGCAAAATTGTCAAAAACTGCTTCTAAAAATAAATAAAAAACCTAAACATTTGAAACTGTTCATTTGGCCCACATGCAGAAGCAGTGCGTAGCCCAGCAAGCCTCAGTAGCGCGTGGCCCAGCGACGCGCGCCACTCTCCCCCTGCGCCCAGGCCACAACCTGCGCCTGGGCCGAGAAACTGCAATCCCACCTGGGCTTATTTTGGCTCGATGACGTTCTAGCCGTTGGATTAGATCCGACGGCCATCCGCGCGCGTCGCCCGATCAAAACGACGACCTCAGCTGCTCCCCTGAAACCCTAACTCACTCTTCCTCTTCCCCATCTTTCTCATCCAGCAGCGGCTCGCATGGCGGACGGAGAAGAAGAAAAGGTACGGCGTCGCTGTGGGGCCCCTCGCCGGCGCGTGCGCTCGCCCGTGGCTAAGCGCGCCGCCGTCGAGCGGCCTTGTGGCGACGCCCTGAACCCCGGTCCAGGAAAGAACCTCGCGGCGGCAAGGCCACGCCCTCCGGCGGCTCCCTACCCACACGCCCGGGAAACGGCGGCGCGGTTTCCTTCCCGCGCCCACCGCGGTGGTTACATTGACAAGGAAACCCGGGTAGGTCACTCGCATCTCTCGGTAACTTAGGGTTAGGGTTACGGGTTCGTTGGGGATTTCTGGGGTTTGACCAAAAATAAAATTTGAATCACCTCCTTCTAATGTCTTCTTCTTTTCTACCCCAAAGCCTAAATATACGCCCAGATTAGGCTCGACTGATACCATTGATAGTAATTGTAGGATCAAATAGGCATAGATCTAGCGGGTACAACCTCTTCTATTTGTGATAAAAGATGTAGATCATCCTAGTACATGAAGAGTAACAGAGAGGAGAGGGTGAGAAGTGAGACATCACCGACCGTCGAAGGGCTTAGCGGAGGAGCTGGAGCCGTCCATGGCGATGTCGGTGTTGCTGTGGAGTCCGGTGGTGCGGTGGTGACCGCGTTGAGGTCGGTGTAGTGAAGACAATGGCATAGAGGCAGCGGTGAAGTGGTCCAGTGGAGCTTCCCGTCACTGGCTGCGTACCCTCTCAAGATCGGGCTAGGGTTTGTCGGTGGGGCGACTGTGGCCGCTCACGGTGAACCTTGTGAAGAGAGCCACCGGCCCCCACCTCTCTTTTTATAGCGCAGTGTGACGGGGGCCCACCAACCATGTAGGGTTGGGCGCCCCCGATCCGGACGTGGATCCAAGGGCCCAATTAGCCAATTGGTTGGGGATCATCTAACACGGGCTACACCGACGACAAGACAGAGCTCGGCGCGAGCTGCACCGGCGACGAGGTGGAGCTCGACGCGGAGCCAGCAAGCGTCGTCGCTCTGGCCTCCGCACACGAACGGTTGCCTCAGAGACTTCCGTCGTCGCCGCACAGGAACGGTTCGTTAGTTCGTGCGAGTGGATAAGGACCAAGGAAAGAGAAAGGAAGAATAAAGAAATAAATAAAGGAGAAGAAAAAAAGAAAAAGGAAAAAAGGGTATCATGGTTATTTTATTATTTCATCAACCATGTGAAGCTGCTTACCAAACACTCTACTAAAATAGCTTTAGCTCTACATGTAAAGATGTTTCTAGAGATAAAGCTGACAAAAGCTGATTCACCAGTGAAGCTGAGCTGTACCAAACAGGCCCTGCTACTCTTTACCGGTGTGGCCTTACCTCTTTCATCTCAATGGTTTGTTAGTTAACAATTAATTGGCCAAACAATACTAAGTTAGTCTGCGTATAACAGCATAACAGCCTCTTCTATACTGAGTAGTAGTACTCTACTCTCTCTGCCTAAAAAAAACTCATCTAGGGTTTTGTTGTGTAGATAAACTTTCTTAAGCTTGAATTTGTTTATAGAAAATTGAACTCCCTCCGTTTTTTAACATGTCTTATTATGTTTCTCCTAAGTTAAATATTTGTATTTTGACCATCAATTTCAAAAAAATTGTATAGAATCATGTCATATAATTTATGTTTTTAGATTCAAACTAATGTACCAAGGACGACCAAACAGCTATTCATCGGCTATCCAGTGTTCTTATAAAATGTAAATGTTACTCAAGTCAAATTTGAGTAAAAACATCTTAGACTTCTTTTCGGTTATCCAAACCATGAATTCTTGTGAGCTACTCCCTCTGTCCTAAAATAGAAGGCATTCTCGCTTCCTGAGAAGTCAAACTTTTTAAATCTTTGACCAATTATATATAAAATAATATTAATATTTATAATACATAATTAGTATCATTAGATAGATCATTGAATATACTTTTTTAATAAACTTATTTGGAGATATAAATATTGCATGCATTTTATATAAACCTTAGTCAAAACTAAAAAAGTTTAACCTACACGTATCATTTAACCTCATTTTTTTAAGGGCGGAGGGAGTATTACCGTCGAGATGGATGATGTGACATTAACCAACGACGTCGACAACCAAATACTATCCGGAACTACTGTATGTTCTTGAGGTTACCCGAGCCGAGCATGAGCACTCCAAGAATGGTCTCCCCTTCTTCCTCGAAGACGCCGCCACCCACCGCAGCGGCCGCCCACCGACTGCCCCGCCGCCACCGCCTCTCCGCGGTTGTTGCTGCTTCAACGAGGAGGCAAGCTGCCGGAGCAGGACTACCCCACCCGGGCGGTGCGGCGGCGGGGGGGGTGGGCTCCATCTGGGTAAACCCGAGCGCCGCACCGCGCCCCGGCGTGGCCAGCCGCACTCTCCGCCGCCTCGTCGAGCTCGACAACCTCGACGCCGCGCTGCATCTTCTCCTCGGCGGTCCCTCCTCCACCTCCACTCCCGCGACCTCGGACTCGGCGCCGGAGCCGCCGTCTGTCATCAGCAGCAACATCCTCATCAAGAAGCTCTGCGCCCGCCGCCACCTCGCCGACGCGGAGCGCGTGCTTGAGGCGCTCAAGGCCTCCGGCGCTGCCGACGCCGTCTCCCACAACACCCTCGTCGCGGGTTACTGCCGCGACGGCAGCCTCGGGGACGCGGAGCGCGTGCTCGAGGCGGCTAGGGCATCCGGCGCCGCGAACGTAGTCACCTACACCGCCCTCATCGACGGGTACTGCGGCTCCGGGCGCCTCGCCGATGCCCTGCGCCTCATCGCCTCCATGCCCGTGGCGCCGGACACCTACACCTACAATACCGTGTTGAAGGGCTTGTGTTGTGCTAAGCAGTGGGAGGAGGCCGAGGAACTCATGGGGGAGATGATCCGGAATAATTGCCATCCGAATGAGGTGACCTTTGCCACACAGATCCGTGCTTTCTGCCAAAATGGGTTGGTTGACCGAGCTGTGGAGCTTCTTGATCAAATGCCAAAGTATGGGTGCACGCCTGATGTTGTCATATACAGTACGCTGGTTAATGGATTCTCAGAGCATGGGCGTGTAGATGATGCACTCAAGCTATTGAGCACCATGTTATGCAGGCCTAACATGGTTTGTTATAATGCTGCATTGAAGGGTTTATGTATTGCTGGGCGATGGGAGGAAGTTGGGGAGCTCATAGCTGAAATGGTTAGGAAAGATTGCCCACCAAATGATGCGACATTTAGTACGCTGATCAATTCCTTATGCCAAAACAGGTTGGTTGAATATGCGATTGAAGTTCTTAAGCAAATGCAGAAGTATGGATATATGCCTGGTGTTGTTAGTTACAACACAATCATCAGCTGTTTTTCTGAACAAGCATGTGCAGATGATGCCCTCAAGTTACTAAACAGCATGCTATGCAAGCCTGACACAATTAGCTTCAATGCTGTGCTGAAATGTTTATGTAGAGCCGAACGATGGAATGATGCTGCGGAGCTTATGGCTAAGATGTTAAAGGAGAATTGCCATATAAATGAAATGACTTTTAACATACTCATCGATTCACTATGCCAAAATGGACAGGTCAAGGATGCCATTGAAATGTTTGAGCTCATGCCAAAGTATAGATGTACGCCTGATATTGTCACATACAGTAGCCTTATTAATGGCTTTTCTGAACAAGGACTTGATGAAGTGGCCTTTGATTTGTTCAGAAGCATGCCATGCAGGGCTGATATATTTAGCTACAATGCTACATTGAAGGGTTTGTGTATGGCTGCACGATGGGATGATGCTGGAGAGCTTATAGCTGATATGGTCACAAAAGATTGTCTCCCAAATGAAGTGACATTCAATATACTAATCAATTCCTTGTGCCAAAAAGGACTGGTCAATCGTGCAATTGAGGTTTATGAGCAAATGCCCAACTATGGAATTACACCTGATATTTTCACATATAATGCTCTTCTCAATGGCTACTCTGGACAAGGCTGTTTGGATGATGCCGTCAAGTTCTTGAGCACCATGCCTTGTGAGCCTGACACCATTTCCTATAATTCTATACTGAAGGGTTTGTGTAGGGCTGAGCGCTGGAAAGATGCAGAGAAACTTGTCACTGAGATGCTTAGAAAGAATTGCACTCCAAATGAAGTAACATTCAAGTATGCTAATCAAGTATTTATCAAATAGGAGTGGTTGAATGCATAACTAAATTCCTGGAGCTAATGCCAAAGTATGGATGGCTACATTCTGAAATGAATGTTGTCTTCATTGATGGCTTTTCGTGGCAGAGGTCAATGATCCTAAGCAGCATAATTGTGCAAGCCTAGCATAGTTTTCTATTATGCTGCATTAATGGCATTTTTCAGTAGAAATGAACAACAGTAGCATTAAAAAACTTGTAGCTGACAGAAGCAATGAGAGCATCCCAGGAGTTCGCGTTTGTGATTGATAGGAATTCATGCTCCAAAATGAAGTACTAATTGGTATACTTGGAAGAGGCAGTTCAATCTGCGACAAAGTTTGTTGGAAAATGGCTGAAAAAGGTTTATAGATAGTGTCTGGCTGCCTGCGAATGATATTTTAAAGGATTGTCAAGGTACATAGCATTACTGAGCAAATGTCAAGCAACAAAGAAGCATATCATAAGATCATGTATGATGCTATTAAATCAATAACGAGCACCATGTAACCTCTACTGGAGAACCGTTGGATCCAAGATATTCGGGGTATGCAATCTGTCATGGTTGAGTTCATAGATGTTTGGGACTTGGTGACTATTCAATATAATCTGTCTGTAGTTGTTTTGTTGCCTATACCTACCTTTTGTTTACTGTCAATTATATACCACTAGATTTTTTCTGTTTTACATTTGCCAAGACAGAGCCTGGATAGTGCTTCCTTGGTAGTGCAATTGGATGTTTTAAATTTGCCAAAACTGTTGTGGTGACCTATCCTTGCTTACTTACCTTTTTATCCATATGCAAATATTTTACCCAGTTTGCATTCTATACCATCATCAGGTTTTACGCCATCTATGGAGCACATTCTTTGTGTCGATGTATCAGAATTGAGAAGGATCTTTGAATTGCTCAGATGTAAGTCTTCTCTTAAGTTGTAGCAAATGTGCAGCATGTTTCAGAACCTCCTGCAACATCTGACGAGTAATATTATGTTCCATGTAAAGGCATGGGCGTCTTTGATATAGCTGGTGTAGAATGCTCAATGGAACATGTGTTTCTGACTGTAGTCATGCAATTTTATTGTACATGTTATGTCTTTAGTAACTCAGCTTCAGCTAACTTTGATGCTTTTTTTCTCGAACACGTAGCAGAGCTATGTATCTTTGTACTAGGAAGGAAAAGAGAAAAATTTGGTGCAGACAGTCACGGGATGCCTGCCGCGTAGATGCTCTAGGGATCCGACAGAAGCACCCAAGTCCTTGTAGCTTCGGCTTGGCTCCTCACAACTCATTGCAACACCCGGCTCCGCATGACGCCCGAGGCTATCAGCCCAGTTCCCTGCCGGTCGCCGCTTTCCTTTCTCCTCTCCCAAGGCAGCTGGTTTCCACCGCCGCTGCCTCTCTCCTCCCATGGTTGTCGCTGCCTCTCTCTGCCCCCCATGACTGATTCTCTTCTCCTGCTGCACCACAAGGCAACCAGGACAATCACTGCCCCGGTGGCTGTGCCATCAGGCCCCAGCGTGAGGCACCCGTCGAGCAGAAGATCTCAAGTCCATTTGCTGTTGATTAGTGGTTGTGTACTTTTCGAAATAACGAAGTAGATTTTTTTTTTGGTTTGTTTCATGCAGTACCATGGACATCCTTTGTAGTGTTTTTGTTACTTAAGCTGAAGAAATCTTTTCATAGTTCAATTACCCGCCTTCTCTTAAATACTAGTATAACTAACCTGTTACATTTCTGAAAATAATGTGCCTCGTTTCAGGCTTGTGATGCTGAAAGGCAGCATCTGGGTTCTACTGCTATGTCATCTTTGAGCACCACAGGAACTAGCCTGCTCTCAACATCTCAGACGTATGATCGGCCCGCTTTCAAGCTGAACATGGACAACAATCGTATATATAATCACTCTGCACTTCTTACATTTCACTTGGTGTTGTCCTTGCCTGTAATCCCAATCTTCACCAATAAATTACCATACAGGTTACATAAGGGTGTGTACCCTGATCAAAACAATCCCATCCCATACAATCTCAGAAAAGAGAGACACCATTGGTTCCATACAATCTGTGTGACATGTAGTGAAGAAATTCTCTTGTTTGATTCTAGGTGCCTTCTCTCCACATGAATCAAACAAGTGAAAGTCTTCAAAAGTTGGCATCGATGGCATAGCTGTTAAGGCACTTGGAAGTGATCAAACTCGGCATAGTCTGATGTAAAACTTCTCACTGCAATGCTGAAAATCTGCTTGGCTGCTTCATCCTCGTGATGATCTCCACTTTTGTTGTGGCGGCGTTGGGGATGAGGCAGGTGGAACTCCAGCGCGATTAGGAGCCAAGCCGCTGCGGAACCGAGCTGATGGATCAAGCTTTTGCTGTGCAGAAATTGGTCTCCCCGAAGGCCGTATGGACACACATTGGCAGATGGGGGTGCGTAAACAAAGCGCCCACCAGTTTGCATACTGGCTGCACCCAATTTTTCTTTCAGAAAAATAGGCAGAACCCTTGCAACACACACCAAGTCACCAATACATCCTTGTTTTAGGTAAACATACGTGACTTTTTCATACAACAAACACGACCTTAACAAACCAGAACACCTACTAGTTACCATCTGGCTCCCAGGCAAGAAAGAAAGATATTCCCCAAGCCCCAGCCAAACTCCAATACATCTCCTCAAGGAGATTCATGATGACCATCAAATGCAATTTAAACATCAGAATGTTTTAATCCTTGAAAGATTGGTCAACCTTTTTTGTGTGTGTTTTTACCTTGTCAGTATATACCATCCTAAGAAGGACGGGCCTGGTGCAAGCGGTAGAGTCTTACCGCATGTGACCGGAAGGTCCCGGGTTCGAGTCGTGGTCTCTTCGTATTGCACAGGCGAGAGTAAGGCTTGCCACTGACACCCTTCCTCAGACCCCGCACGGAGCGAGAGCTTTCTGCACTGGGTACGCCCTTTAGTATACACCATCCTAAAGACATACTATGGCAATGCTTTGATATATTTTTCAGTTTAATTTCTAACCTGTTAACTTTTTTTGATGAGTTTCAAAACCAATTCATGTATAAGTTTTCCCCCTTGTGCAGCAACTTCTTTAGAACATGAAAACGCTTGCTTTAATTGTGTTAAATTCCCTACTTTTGTCCCCCCGTACAATTTGTTTCCAAGATTCGGGACTGGACCTTGTTTCCTCATTGCATGGCTTTTCTCCCTCCTTCCTTTGCCTTTGCATATAATGATGAAGTAGCAACCCGGAAGCGTGAAACTTGTCATGGGATTCAGCTTGTCATGACGGGATAGCGGTAGTTTTTACTATGTACTTAGATATACACTATGTCTAGATACATAATAAAAACAGTATATATAGAAAAGCCAAAACGTCTTATAATTTGAAGGGGTAATATTTTTCTTGTATGAATTGTAGGAGAAGACATGGCTTTTATACGGTTGTATAATAAATGAAACTAAGCGGTACTGATAAATACATTTTTTTTTAAGTACAAGGAGTACCAAAAAAAATCGTGATACTGCAGTAATCCAAGTTTTTATAACTCAATCGTATCATGCTACATAGCCAGAGTTGCTTGTTCAAAATTCCGTCGATGATAACCAGACAACAATCTTTTCGATTGGACTATGATCCATTTCCTGTACATTTTATTCATATCTGAAGCAGCATGTAGCTGCAACTAGAAATGCAGATTTGGATTTTCGCTGACATTACACATACTCAACATATCAACATACTTTAATGACAAATATTGAACGAAAGAATATACTTTCTATGCAAGTCAATCAAGTATCCATCCACTCATCCCTGGATAGTGGGGATTTTACCCAGTAGCCCCCTCTTAAGTTCGAAAGAAATTTAGCAATACAAGTTCAGAACTGTCAAAATGAAGGGTATTCCAACTGCTAATAGAGCTCTGATTGACATTAGCACATAGCCTATGTTCCTACGACAACAGGTATGTGTAGCTTGGCACCACTTGGAAATTCCTCTCTTTCAGACCTTCAGAGATATACCATTCAAAGCGGAAAGTCATGAATCAGGTGGTGCATTATCTTTCTCATCTGCCTTGGGGTTTTCTCTCCGCCGCAACTCAAAGTGGTCCCCATCCGCAGAGGGATCAGGGTGTCCAGGAGAACCAGTTGTTTCCATGCTCACCTCAGGGGACGTTTCAGTGTTGAGCTCGTCTTCTACAGTTTTATCTCCTGAATGGTCACTTTCATCACTACTGCTGTACCCTTGGTTTGACAGCAGTGTATCACCTTCGCTCACCTTGGAGTTTACTTCATCAATCGTCACTTCTGTCAGAGGGAGTCTCTGCTGGATAGGCACAGCATTGCTGATAGGTTGGCCTGTCCTCAGTTCTTTATAAGCAGCCAACTGGGTCCGGTATCGCTCCTTATCCTGTACACCTCTTTCTTGATATACCTGAAATACCAGGAAGTCATACACAACACAAGAATATAGTGTGCAAAGTAACTGCAGGTTCAGAATAGTGAATCTTTAAGATTTTGTCTCCACTTACAGCTTTATCTTCAGGACTTAGATTGTTCCATCGTTCACCAATCATTTTACTGATCAGCCTGTCTTGTCCAGGATATTGTGGCTTAAGCATTCTATGTTGATCCTGGAAGAAGAAATTATAGCCACTCCTGTTTGGTTTGGGGTGCCTGGGGTCTGTTGTACTTAGCTTCTTCCTACGTCGTCTTCGGCGACGTCCACCCTTCAAATCAGTGCTGTTACTTGCAACAGGTGGCTCCGGAGTTGGTAGAGCAGGTTCTTCAGTGCAATTATAGAGGATTGCTTTAGTGGATTTTGATCCCATAATAACAGTTACTATGTAGCCATGTTCAAACTTGCCATCAACTATCACATCTACGGCAACATTATCTGAAGACGAAGCTGGATCTGAAACAGTTGATCAAACAAGGAGTGAATAATATAATTTTAAACTAGCTCGATGCCTGTCCATTGCAACAGGATTTCCAATAAGTATTC